TCAAATCAACAACTTGGAACAATAGGTAGATATAAACATTCAACCAGAACTGAATAAAGAAACAAGAATTAAAAAAAAATGAGAAGCTTAGGAAACTCTAGGACAACTTTAAACATTTCAACATCTGAACTATAGGGATGCCAGAAGGAGAAGACGAAGAACAAGAAATTGAAAACTTATTTGAAAAAATAATGAAACAAAACTGTCCCAATCTGGCAAAGAAAATAAACATACAAGTCCAGGAAACTCAGAAAATCCCAAACAAGTTGGAACCAAAGAGCAACACACCAGCATACATTGTAACTAAATTGCCAAAGATTAAAGATAAGGAGAGAATCTTAAAAGCAGCAAGAGAAAAGAAGGGAGTTACCTACAAAGGAGTTCCCATATGACTATCAGCTGATTTCTCAAAAGAAACCTTGCAGGCAACAAGGGGCTGGAAAGAAGTATTTGAAGCCATGCCAGGCAAGGACCTACATCCAAAATTACTCTATCCTGCAAAGCTATCATTTAGAATGGAAGGGCAGATAAAGCACTTCCCAGATAAGGTAAAATTAAAGGAGTTCATAATCACCAAGCCCTGATTATATGAAATGTTAAAGGGACTTATCTAAGAAAAAGAAGATGATCAAAAATATGAATAGTAAAATGACAACAAACTCACAACTATCAACAACAGAACCTAAAAAAACACAAAAACAAAAACAAACTAAGCAAACAGCTAGAACAGGAACAGAGTCACAGAAATGAAGGTCACATGGACAGTTATCAATGGTGGGGAGTTGGGTGGTGAATGGGAGGAAAGGTACAGGGAATAAGAAGCATGATATGGTAGGTAAAAAAGAGACAGGGGGCTTTAGGAATAGTATGGGAAATAGAGAAGCCAAAGAACTTATATGTACAACCCATGGACATGAACTAAGTGGGGAGAGATGCTGGAGGGAATGAGGGCACTGGACAGAGGGGGATACAGGGAAGAAAAGAATGGGACAACTCTAATAGCATAATCAATAAAATATACTTTAAAAAAGAAGTTAAAAAAACAAAAAGAAAAAAGAAGAGCAAAAATTGTGGAAAGGGAAAATAAAGATAGAATCAATAAAGAAAAAAGTCAGTTTTTGAGACAATAAAATAGAAAAAATTATGGCAATATTGGTCAATATTTTTTTAAAATGGACAGAAATAAACTATACTAGGAATTGTTAAAAGATTTAAAAAGAGAATAATAAACACCTTTATGACAATAATTTTAAAAACTTTAATGAAATGGAAATTTCCTAGAAACTATAACAAAAAAATTAAGAAAAAATAGAAAGCTTGAATGGCCCAATAACAAAGAAGTTGGATTAATATTCCTAAATCCATAGGCACGCACAACATAAAACCAGGCTCAGACAGCTTTACAGGCATGTAAAGACATACTTTCAAGAAACTGATTATTATAAACTGAAAAACTTTTTCTGAAGACCAAAATAATAGGGATTATTCATCCACTTAGTCTGTGAAGCAAATATATACTTGTTACCAAACTATATGAGGACAACACAAAAAGAGGAACGTTAGAAATTACACTATCCACGAAAAATTACATGTTACCAAAGTACAAGTTATTTATCAACATATATGACACAATACTGAATAAAGTATTTACAAAATTAAATCTCTCAGTGCATAAAATGACAACAATTTATAACCAAGTTTGATAATCCTTAGGAATATGAGTAGTTCCAACATCCCTCATAACCCAGAAAATTAATAGTTTTGCAGGAAAACAAATGCAGAAAAGGCCCCTGAAAATATTCATCTTTGCTAATGGTAAAAAAATTCTTAGAAAACTTCTAGGATATTTAACCTGATATCCAACCTGAATGCATCAAAAGCCTATAATAAATATCACTTTAATAGTGAAAATTAGAAAACATCTTTTCATTAGTAACATTATAAGAATACTCACTATGACTTCTAGTCATTCTAACCAGAGAAGAGAAAGAAAGAAAGAGAGAGAAGAAGAGGGAAAAGAAAGAGAATGAGGGAGGGAAGGCAAGGGGGAAGAAAGAAATGTTTACAAAAATTGTACTAAGGAGGAAGAAGAAAAGAGGCAGTGAGGAAAGGGAAGGAGAGTAAAAGGAAAAAAGAAAGAAATTAATTAAAAAGGAAGAAATAAACTCATATATGTGATAGATACATGAAACTTAGATGTAGATGGAAGTCTACATAGAAATGTACCAAGGCAATTAGTTATAAAATAAATACTCCTAAATCAAGTATACTTTCTCAATGTGACAACAAACATAAAATGTAACTTTAAATATTGAAATCAATTACAATAGCAAAAATAAAAACATGTATATGCTATCTGGAAATAAACTGAAGATATTAAGTCTTTAATGGAGAAAGTGTAAAATTTTATTGAAAGACATCAAAGAAGGTCCCAAAAATCATGGTGATACACTGTATTTAGGAATAGGAAGACTTAACATCTTAAAGGTGACAATTTTTCCAGAAATTAATCTATATAATCAATATAAGTCCAAACAAAATTCTTAGAGCTTTTTAAAGCTTAACAAGTTTGTTTTAAAAGTCATATGGAATAACAAAGGTCCAAAGTAGGCAAGATACTACTATGTGAAATAAAATAAAAGTATTTTCTTATCATGTATCAGACTTACAAGTTATCTTAAAGTTCTGGTCATTAAGATAGTATAGCAATGGTATAGATTAAAAGTACCATTGACTATAAAGGAGCTTAAACACAGACTGATGCAAACTAGTTACTTGAGAAGTTAGTTTTACAGATGAAAGGAGAAAATACGGTCTGTTCAATAAATGGTTCTGGGACAATTGTTTATCCATGTGGATAAAAACTATTATGCCATTGAATAAAACTGACTCACACCACATAAAATATATCAATACCAAAAAGACTAAAGACTTAAATGTGCAAAGTAAAACCATAAAACTTAGGAGAAAAAGTAGGAGAATATATCCATGAACTCAGGATAAAGAAAGATCACAGGGGAATAAAAACATAAACTGTAGTACATATATACAATAGAATATTACACCATAGCAAAAAATTAATAAACTATAGCTACACATAGCAACATGGGTGGTTCTTAAAAATGTCAGGTTATTGTAAATAATAAGTAACAAGAAAGTCCTGAACAAAGTGACTCAATTTCTATAAAACCCCAAAATAAGCAAAATTAAGCGATATATGTATTGTTTGGAGATACATAATGTGATGATAAAATTAATTTTTTTAAAAAAGGAATAATAAAGACAAACTCAGATTAATGGTCATTTCTAGTCATAAGAACAAGAGGGTTAAATGAGGAGCAACAAATGATATTGGTTATGAACTATTTCTTTAGCCTATGATTGTTTTATTATTTTGCTTAATAATTTACATTTGTTACATGTTATCCATAAGTTGTGAATGACAGTTTCAAAATCAAAACATCAACTTAAAAAGATTATTCAAGGATTAATTTAGTTATTATTGGAGCCCTCTGAAATCTAAGTGAGGTTTTGTGGGGCAGGCATCAGTGGGTGGTTCAACTGGTAAGGATGTTTTTGTCACTGGAGTTGGTCAAGTGTAGATAAGCAAACTCCTTTAAATTAATGTGAATATTTTAATGCAAACTTAAGCTTCAGTCCATTGATTGGATTAAACTCTTACACATCGGAAAGACTATGATTCCATGAGTTGATTGTTGAGTGAGATATAACTGTTCATTTTAGCCAAATTTGTAACAACCAAGAGTCCGTACAGATACGATCCTGATCTTCAAATCCTGGAGTCAGAATGAGTCAGTTGTTCCCAGAAGACGCTAGGCAATGACTTCACACTAAAAATTACTTGCTCCTGTTTTACCCTTAATGGTAATTTATTTAATTAATTATATTTCTTTAGTCCCAGTTGAGATAGGGGAGGGGAGCTGCAGTTTCACATAGCTCAATTTTATGCAATTAATTACCTAAAGATAATGTTGAAATTCATTTTAGCAAGTACAAAATTATGGGTGGGATCTTAGAGAATGTTCTGCCTCTCAATCTTCATAGATGCTGGGGTTCAAAGCAGGAGGCCGCTTTACTGAAAGTGTGGGGAATGTCCCTCAGACCCCTCACCATCAAGGAGATAGAGAATGCCAACAAAAGAGACAGCATTGCCACCCACAGGGAGCATTGAAAACTAAGTGAAAAGCATAGATTAAGTAAATTCATTTGTGCAACTTCCAAAGGGCAAGGGCAAGCTTCGTATCTGGAAAATCTTAGACAGGATATGCAATAGGAGCTAGACTGCCAGCATTTACTAAATCTCCACTGAAAATAATCCATTCCTTAGGTCCCTCAGACTAGTCAATTACCTCTGGGGATAACCCCCTCAGAAGTGCCTCCCACCTACTGAGATCAGACTGGCCTGGGGCTCTTAACCCACCTGCCTGTCTTCTGAGCAGCACTATTTTGGGTTATTAATTACAGCAAGAAAGAGGATCAATGACCACCACCCGTTATGTTATTTCAAGTGGACTGGAGGAAGACATAGATGCCATGACTGGAAACAAGTCTCTGCCTTTCACTGAGTGACAGACACTCTTACTGATGTTTCACATCATAGATTGTGACTCTTTGTGGAGAAAGTCAATCACATCCAACATTCTGGTGGGAAGAGAATGATGAATACCAGGGACACTTCTACAGTGAAATAATGAACCTATTCCAGACATGCATCAAGGTTCTACTTGCTGTCCTCCTGGGTCAGAGTATAAGAAACCCAGTCATGAAGAATAAGGGAGCATCTTATTGTGCCCCTAGAAATTACTGGGGCCTCACATAGGACTTGTACTCTTCTTCTGGAGTGACCAAAAAAAAAAAAAAAAGCATCCCTTGGGTCATGTGACCCTACCAGCTCTCTAGAGGCAGGTCTCATAAGGGCACTGTGTGGAGCCTCTGAAATCTGCAAATGTAGGAAGAAAGCAGGGAGTAGATAAATGAGCATGGCCTTGCTCTTGGTCTCCTTGCTGGCATTCCTGAGCTTGGGCTCAGGATGTCATCATCGGATCTGTCACTGCTCTAATGGGGTTTTCCTCTGCCAAGGGAGCCAGGTGACAGAGATTCCCTCCGACCTTCCCAGGAATGCAGTTGAACTGTGAGTATCAGAGGCTGTGGGAACTGCGTGGCTGGCATTGGAGTGTTGCATGCTAGTATTATTTTCATATTGGGCTGATAACTGTTGAGCTGAAATATTTCTGCTCTGACCTAAGGCTTGAATAAAACAAACTCTCTCAGCTCAACACCCATGCCCTTCATCTCTCCAAGGATTTTAATGAGAGTCGATCACAGTATTTATCAGAGAAGGGCAGTACAGAAACCTGAGTGTCTTTTCAACTCAGGTCCCATACTCTCTTTGGTGGAACCAGATAAGTAAAACTAAGAAAAAGCAGAAACTTAGGAGACCTAGAATTGGAAGCAGAAAGACAGCTTTGATTTAAGTGGCTTGTACAAGGTGAGCCTCCTGAGGCCACTGGATTCAAGAATGCAAGTGTCACTGTTGCTTTGGAGGCACCAGCAAATAATTCCTGAACTGAGATTCTGCTTCCTGGGGAGAAGGAGGGGTGGCCAAGACAGAGGAAGGGGTGTGAAGAACTGGAGGAAGAAGAGAAAAACAGAGGTGGAGAGGGAAAGAGAAAGACACCATCATCCTTCATACAGGCGAGAATACACGATTCTCAACTTTAGATTTCTACTGAACTATTTTAAAAGGAAGTAGACGGAGTTGAATAAGAACTTCAACATCATTTCACTCTATGTCTTTATTTTGCAAATGAGATATCTAGGGTCTGGAGAGTCAAGAGAATTGCCCACACTCTTATAAAACTAGAAACTGTGTGTTTTGACACACAATATACTGGATTTTTTTCCTCAAAATCCCATGTCTGACTGCATTAGAGCAAAAGTAGGGCCTCCCCTGAGAACTGGCAAATTATGGCTCAGAGACTGTAGATACCCTTAGTGTTTTGAGTCTAAGAATTTTACAAAAAGCTGCTATTCTGGAAAGCCATTTCAAACTTGCTCCCCTAAAGCTGTGAATTGCTCTTGCCTTACTGCAGAAGGTGGTCATCTTTTCAGTTCACTGATTACCACATCTGCATTCACACAGGTTGTTGTTGCATTTCAGAGTTCCACTCAGGGACAAATGGTCACAGACTTGGTTGGTCCTGGTTGCTACTTTTTCCCTTGACAGCCCAAGTCCTCAGTGCCTATCCAAAGGCAGCTGCAGCAGCAGGAAAAATAACTGGTTTGCTCTGTGTATTGGCTACACTGCTTCAGATGAGACAGTTATTCTCCATTATGGGAAGTCAGTCTGGTTCACTAGGTCATTATAAACAGAGAAGGTGGGCCATGCACCTGAGCTCCTGTAACAAGATACTTGCTTCTAAGTGACTGAACGATTACTAATCCCCTCTGAGCCTCAGATCCTTCACTTCTAAAGTGCTTTTCATCCAACCCACTTGGCTGGATTGTTGTGAACACTAAAAGAAGATACCCCCACACACATACATACACACCCATTTCTACCTCTCCTGTCTCTTCTCCATTTCTTCCTGTTTTTCCATGTTGTTCAGGTAGTGCCAACCTGTAGTTCAGGTAGTTCTTAAAGCAGAGAGCCCCTAACAAGGTTTGATTTGAGGGTGATGCTCCTCTGTCCGAAACTCCCTTCTACACTAGACTGCTTTCTGATGTCTTTTTACAAGAGGAAAATACACTTCAGTCTACATAGAAAATAGGAAGAACAAGAGGGAGGGAGGGAGGGAGGGAGGGAGGAAAAGAATAAAATTCATCCCCAAACCCCAAACCTCAGGATGTATAAGTCAGCATGAAAAGAGCAAGGGTAGGATTTTTTTAAACTTCATACTAAGATATAAATGACTAACACATATCTCTGCTCCAGAACACTTTACAACTGAGAAAAGAGGTTGTAAAAGACAGTGTGTTGAACTGAACACCAGAAACAAACTTCACACTCTTGACAAAGGCTAACCCATATCAACCCCTTACTCAGAGGTGCATAACAGTGTCCAAAGTTGCTAAAATATGAGAGGAAAGAAAGTGTTTGCCTTTTATTGGCATGTTCCCCACCTGCTGAATGAGTATGGTTGTTTGAAAGCTTTGAGGACTACAGCAATTCTCCCAGATATCTAATCTTGAGAAGATTCTTTTCTCTACACATTCATTAGTAGGCCGTGACTTGGACCATTCTAGAGTTCAGCTTTGCAATCTTCTTGGCAAGATGTATTGAGGAAAAGAAGATAACTACTGCATTGGCAGACAGACACAAGAAGAAAAAAGGAAATTATATGGGGGATATTTTTCAGGTCAGTTTGTTAATCACTGAAAAGCAGATAAAATGCCAAGTGAATTAGATCTCAGACATTGTGTTAGAATGAAAGAGCGATTATTTTTGCTTCCTTAAAAGGATGGATCAGGATTATCTGGAACATTGGTAAAGGAAGATGAAGTGGCTTGTTCAACTAAGTATTTCTAATTCACCTACACTTCCAGGTGTAGGTGGATGGAATAGCTGGGCTTCTGGGACTGCAACTGCTTAATCCATCAACATGTCAAAGCTTCATTGTCAGTCAGGTTCAGTGGGGGAAGCCACTCCTAAATTTACCGTTTTTATCCTATCATATTCCATCCACTTTGCAGCAGTCTCATTTTATGCACCTGCCAGGTATTGCTAAAGATTTCTAATTCCCAACAACCCACACACGCTGACAGCAACACAAAAGCATACCGAAGCGCCATCAAGAGATTCATTTACTGAGAGGCCCCTGGGGTTTACTTGATGCTTTACACACACTACTTCATTAAAATGTCACAATAGAACTGCAAATCTGGTATCACTGCTCCATTTTCCACAGGAAGCGAACTGAAGAGCAGGAAAGTTCAGTAACTTGAGCCCAGTGGTCCCTGCCACTCCTAGGTGGTGGAGCTGGGATCCACACTCGAGCCTGTTTGTAGCTCTGCTGCCTGTTGTGTGCAATGAAAGTCCTCTCACTGCTTCCATTCCTTCCTATAAAAAAAAATTGTCTTCCAAATTTTGACCAGAGGTCAACACACCTTTTTTCTATAAAGAGCCAGATAATAAATACTTTAGTCTCTGCTGCAAGTACTCAGCTTTGCCATAGTTGTAGGTGAGCTACCCCAAACAAAATGTAAATGAATTAGGATGGTTGTGTGGCAATGAAATTTCATTTACAAACACTGAAATTTGAATTTCACATAATTTTCCCAAGTCACAAAGTATGATGCTTTTACTTTTCTTCAATTATGTGAAAAGGTGAAAAATATTAGTTCATGGGCCATAGAAATACAGAGGGGCAGGACAGATGTGGCCCAGAGGCTGCTGACTGCCCGCTTCTTAGACTACGGATGGGAGCAGTTAAATAGTACTGGCTTATGTAAGTGTAGGCAGCCTGAGACAACACAGTGCTATGGAGAAAGAATTAAACTGGGTGAACAGGGTCAGGAATGGAGGGAATTTTAAGGTAATATTCACAGAGGGGCTTTAATTGGTTCTGACAGGTCAGAGATAATAGAGTATAGTGTCTAGAATCTCAGAGACCTGAATTCAAACTCAGGCTATGCTGTTGCTTTTTGCTCTATGGAGTGGGCTCTTGGCTATACAATGGAAATTGTAGAGTGCATCTTACAGGATTGCTGAGGATTAAGTAAAACAACATAAATAAAACACCTAGCACACCACCTCTCCGGTGGTGGTGGTGGTGGTGGTGATTGCAATGTCATCTGTAAAATACTAGACCTTTATGATGATCAAATGAGTCAACAGATATGGGAATGCTTTGGAAAATTTATGTAAAGATCTGCATAGGTCTGAGATAGTTTATAGTCTCCCGCTTACTTAAAAATAATCTTCTCCTCCCAGTGGCTGGAACACTTATTCTCTGTGCATGTGTCTCTTTCTAAGAAATTGTATTCCTTCAGGCTTTTGATATCTTTCAAGGACTCAGGGAGCAGGTTTTGTTCTGGCCATAGTCAAAGGAATTTTGATTTCTGACTTATTCTAGAACCTCACCTGCACCCAGAGCAGTTAGCAGATCTAGAAAGGGCCCTTTGATCTTGCTTTATTCTTCCTGGAGGTAGAATCTCTAAGGAGAATGTGGATACTATTCAAAACCTGAATTTTAACTCAAAGTAACAATACAACTACAGCTCTCCTTTCATTCAGCAGGGTTAGAGGCCCACAGTTCCCAGAAGAGCAAAGGGTCCACTGATGGTCATTCTCAGCACAGGCAGGCCAGTCCTGAGGTTACACTGTAAACTGGCTGCACTGACAACTCTCCTCACAGCCAACTTCCTGTATCTCACTATAGTCTCAACTGACCAGCTCTTATTTCTAATTAACTAATTATAGTTTCCCATTTTTTATTTTCTTCCTTTGCCTTATATTCCTTGCTGCCTTGCTTCAGATCATTCTTAGTATCTTATTACCATAGAGTATTGTTTAGTGAGGTGCCTTAAACTATGCCTCATTTAGTCTTTTCTTAGCAGGTCCTTAGTTCTGAGGGACACATTGATGCTGTTTGCCAGAAAGGGAAGCTCTGTGATCTCCAAGACGGAAACAGAGTTTTTGATGCTTGCAAACATGCTGAATTGTGGAATCTTTTTCTCTTAACAGCATCTTTGAGAGTAAATATGCAGAACATGCCTTGGGAAAGACTGATTGACTTGTGGTCCATCCAATCTCAGCCACCAAAACAAATCCCCTGTAAAGTCTGAACTGTAGCCAAAACCTCATGGCTCTTTATTCATGCTCAGTAACAGCTAGAAATAGACTCTTGGCTGGGTTTTTACTGTTTTGTGCTCAATCAGTAGCTACATGAGAATGTGCTGTGTTCTCATGAAAGAGATAGTTCTGAAGGACAGGCAATGGCCATCCATGATGGGGGTGCTACCTGTTCTGAGGCCATGAAAGGAAAGATAAAACAATGGATTACAATCTGCTAGAACTGCTCCTGACAGTCTCATTTGTTCATTTGTTGGATACTGATAGTTTAAATCTCTTCATCATGCAGGTTTCACTTTCCTGATTGCCCACACATGACCAGTTTTACAAACTCCCTT